CACAATAGGAAGGAGAACGCGTCAGTAATTTATGATTCACCAGCGGGACTGTCGCACGTGCCGCGAGCTCATAAGACGGAAACTAATTGCTACGCAACAAGTACTTTACGTTGACATTCCGTTTTCAACATTCCTCCAGATACGCTGCAAAAACTCTTTCTACTGAAGATATGCTTCTGTCGAATACGGGCCACAGCATCTATGCTCTATAGTGGTACATGCAGAGAAGGCGAAGAATTTTACTAAGAACTAGCGACTCAGATTCATGCAATGGAGTTGTGAATTTTCTGCATTCTAAGGTCAGGAAAAGTGCTAACACTAACTGAAGCACAGTTCGCAAAGAAATCTAGCGCGCAGGATAGGAATGACTGGTATCGCACTGATGGAAGACCGTTCTACGCTTCCTCATCTTCGTCGACGATGTTCACCACTGAGCACAACGTTCAATTTTGGATCGCATTCGAGAACTATTGTAGACGTTTTGCGACGTTTTTCTAGTGTTCTGAATAGACTGCAGAAAGGTAGCGCCATTTAGGTGCATATGCAACAATTATGATATGTGCTTTGCCTTATGATCGGAGTTTTCCTCATCTTCCAGCTAGCTAATTGGCAATTCTCACTTTTTTGACGCTTCAGAACAGCATTTTGACACATCTTCAGGGTACAAGTAAGCATACTTACAAAGTCGAGCTTCCACGTCGAGGTGTTCTCCTGTATGAAAGCCCCTCTGTCCGTGTGGTGGGCAGTTGGCCCCACTCTGCACAAGAACTTCTGCACATACGGTCGACTTCCTAAAATTCGGAACCTGCAGGACATTGGACACTAAGCCAGGATCGGGATGGTCATGGAGCGCACCTAGAACAAGAGAGAAGAGAGGTTGGAAAAAGATTTCAGACAGCACACGTTAGTAAAAAATATTCTAGTTTTTTGCGCTCAAGCACATTACACAGCGTTCAGCAGTCTGTAATGACACGCCTCAGAGGGAAAACGAAGTTTCGTTCTGAAAGGAGACGTGCAGCTTTGCCACATGAATAGCAACTCGTTTCCTACCCTTTTCAGCAACACTACAGGGTGGCCAGAATTTACGGTAACAAAATGAAGCGATCACGGAAATGAGTACAACTACGAAAAGACAAGTGGAAAACACAGAAAATATTTACTAAAGGGTAACAAACGTAAAACCAACATGGTCCTTCCGAAGCTACTATCCGCGTTGGAAAAGAAGTGAGGTCTCTCAAGGAATTAGCTGACTGCAGCGCGTGTTATTTTGACCGCGCAGAGTGTGACATGACATCATGTCAACACGGTCCCACGAGAACTCCTTTTTCTCAGGAAGTGTGTATTTGTTATCTTTCTTGTGTGGTAGGTCTCCGATTATGCGATTTTGGCCATTTTAGCGATTCCTGTGATTTGATCATTATTCAAACATTTTTAGAAAAACTCGATAGCCCATCAACCGAAGCTTCTTTCCAGGGACCACGCCTTTTGTAACAATGCCTAAGTATGGCGCATAACATCCTACTTACTATAAAGCGCTTCGTCTGTCGTCTGTCGTCTGTCGTTCTGTATGTCTGTCACGAAATTCCCTAGCTCCTCGGGATCCGCCTGGAGGGACCGGGTCAAGTGTGGGATGGGTGGGCAAGGTCTCACGTAATATCCTACTTACTATAAAGCGCTTCGTCTGTCGTCTGTCGTCTGTCGTTCTGTATGTCTGTCACGAAATTCCCTAGCTCCTCGGGATCCACCTGGAGGGACCGGGTCAAGTGTGGGATGGGTGGGCAAGGTCTCACGTAATACAAAACACACATCAGCTAAGCGGAGCCCCGCCCACAGAGGGCGTGGCGTGCGTCGAAATGAATTGTACCGAAGACCAAGATTTCATTTCAGTGACAAAACGACCTCGAAACTGGGCCAAAAAGTGGGTAAGGTGTGCATTGGTAAGTCACATCGAATTAGGGAGACCCACCCCCGGTGGGCGGGGCGTTCTCCAAAAAAGCAGTGCTTTATGAAAAATTTCATAACTCGGTTGGGAGAAAGCCTACAGAGCAGAAAACAAATTGGTGCAGGGAGCAATGTCTAAGGTGTTCCCAGCATACATGACGTGGGCGGAGGCCCGCCCACAATGGGCGGAGCGCGCTCTGAAGTGTACAGCATTTTCTACAAGTCCTCATAATTCGGGCCGGAGAAGTCTTAGTGAGCCGGAAAAAGGTGGATAGAGGTGGGTGGAGGAGTGGAGGTCAACTGTCATTGGTGGGCGGGCATGACCAAAGTGGGCGGAGTTTGCGACGAAAATTTATAACTCGGTTCCATGAAGTCCCGGAGCTGGGGAAAAGGTGGATAGAGGTGGGTGGAGGAGTGGAGGCTAACAGTCATCAATGGCGGGGCTGACCAAAGTGGGCGGAGTTTGCGACGAAAATTCATAACTCGGTTCCAGAAGGTCCCGGAGAGTGGGGAAAAAAGAAGATATAGTTGGGTGGGAAAGTGGAGGTCAACGGCCAATGGTAGGCGGGGCTTGGCCAAAGTGGGCGGAGTTTGCGACGAAAATTCATGACTTGGCTCCAAGAAGTCCCGGAGGCCGCGGAAAAGGTGGATGGAGGTGGGTGGAGGAGTGGAGGCCAGCTGTCAATGGTGGGCGGGACATGACCAAAGTGGGCGGAGTTTGCGACGAAAATTCATAACTCGGCCCCAAGAAGTCCAGGAGGCTGGGAAAAAGGGAGTAGAGGTCGGCGAAGGAAAGGAGGTCAAATGCTATTAGTGGGTAGAGCACGCACCCAAGTGGGCGGAGTTTGCCAAAAGTATCGCAATTCGGTTGCAAGAGGTCCTAGAGATAGGGGAAAACGGGGTTAGAGGTTGGTGAGGGAAAAGAGCTCAACTGCTATTAGTGGGTAGAGCACGCACCTAAGTGGGCGGAGTTTGCCAAAAGTGTCGTAATTTGGTTCCAAGAGGTCCCAGAGACCGGTGAAAAAGGGGGTAGAGGTCGGCGAAAGGAAGGGGGCCAAATGCTATTGGTGGGCAGGGCACGCACCGAAGTAGACGGAGTTCGCCACGAGATTTATTGTCCGGGCCGAGGACCGAGAAAAATAGGATAATGGTTGACGAAGAAAGAGCGGATAGAATTTAGCGGAGAATTCAGATATTCGTATTGTATCAAGCCAAATTTGAAAATTTTCGTCGCACCATCAAAATTCGCCGCAGATCTGTGTTGCGCGCGCAATGCGTGCGGCGCCAACTGGTATAAATAAAACCTAAATGTTTGAAAACTAGCTTAAAAAAGTCTGTGACATGACATCATGTCACACGGTCCCATGCGGCCAAAAGAGTGTGGTATGACATCATACCACACGGTCGTCAACATGTTAACAAAACTTGACCGATAACGTTTCGGGCCTAAGCCCTTCTGATCAACTGAAATACCATACATAACACAATACAACACATGGATCCATTGAAACTCGCCTCGGTGTAATGGAGACGAAGATGCTGCGCTGGACGGCTGGTGTCACGCGATTAGATCGCGTCCGGAACGATGTCATACGAGAACGCTTTGGTGTAGCTCCCATTGCTGATAAAATGCGCGAAGCTCGGCTTCGTTGGTTTGGCCACGTTCTTCGCGGAAATGATGACAGTGTTCGCAAGATCGGCCTCAACATAGACGTGCACGGAAAGCGGCCCAAGGGGCGCCCGAAACAGCGCTGGCTCGATACGTTGCACGCAGACTTGAAGTTGGTTAACATCCACCCCGACCAAGCATTTAATCGGGAAAAGTGGCGACAGCACATCAGAAAAGCGGACCCCGCCAACAAGCGGGACAAACGAAGAAGAATAAGAAGAAGAAGAAGAAGAGATTGTCTAAAGAAAATGAGGGGCGATCAAGAGCGAAAGTGCGTTTGCGCTACTGCCGCTTACGTGTCTTTTAAAAATTACAATTCCTTCGGAAATCAAGGCAAGTATATGGACAGAATGATTGGCATCGGATAGCCGTGCCTTCAGGTTCAGTGCAAGCTCTGCCTTCAGGATTTACGGGACGTATTATGCGTGCTAAAAATGCGGTACCATAGGAAGAGTGACACTTGTATTAGACCTACCATACATAGGACCTGCGCGTCTGCTTGTGTAGTTGTTGTTTACATCGTAATTGAATGTGAAACAGTTGCCGAATTGTGGATCCACATGGATTCGAAAATCTCTGTAAAAATCTTGCTTCTGAGAGAAGATCGAAATAATGATTGTTCCTATAATATATATTTATGATATATCGCCGCATGAGAAATCCATTGCTGACAATCACGTTCCCCATAGGGCGCCACAGTTCCACTACGCAAAAATTGAAAAAAAAATTGCAAGAATTCAGGGTATACTCATATTCATGGAAGAAAGGCATATGAATTATATACAGACTCAATATAACACTTAGCTCTGCCCCATCACATTTAGCTAGACTTTGCATACATATCCAAGCGTAATCGTTCGACCCACTTCTCTATATTGCACTCACGGCCGTCGAATGAGCACATCTCAATAAAGTCGTGTTTATTCTGTGAAAGAGCGATACGTTGTTCCTTCGAAAAATTGGACACTGCGAACATCAAGTTCTCCGTGGCTTTGGTTATCATTGCCACACTGTCTGTTAATCCCTTAAACACGTGTGAAAAAGAAACATTGCATAAAAAACGCTACAGAAAAGAAAGAATTCATCATCAGTTATGGAACAACAACTCTTTTCAGGGTGGTAGTTAGTTATCACCTAACTATTATATACCGTTCAAGATATTTAACAGTCGCACAGAACAGGAATGCCTCCTTATAGGGAGGGGAGAGACAGAGAAAGCCATTTTTTTCCACTTTCAAACACCGAATCTACATTTTCTTAAAACCTGACCATTATATTTCCACATTATTGTACACCACGGATCTCTTTCACTGAGGGTCCTCTCTCACTGAAAGATCTCGAGCCGGTTGGTGGCGAGGCTACGTGGCGCGACCCCAGGTGGCGGATAGGGGGTAAATCGCGGACCAAAAGCCACCATGTACTTGCCCTGAGACGCAGGTGGATTCAGGGGATGGACTCCCTGTTTCTGTAGTGCTGTGTTGATTCATACCAGCTGTCTCCACTCAGGCGCATCCATGCATGCTTGCGTGTGTGGTGCGCTCTGTGTGTGTGCGGTTGGTATCCTGCATGTCGGCACAGCCAAAAGCTTGCATTCAAGTGACTGGGAAGTACATGGGAGGCGATTCGGGGCCGCCTCCAAGAAATAAGCCCCTTGTTCCGCTCCAGGATAGCGTGGCTAACTACCTGGAGGTCTATCCTAGCCCGCACGACAGAGCCTGGCAAGCTACTCGTGTGCCTTCAATATGCCGAAAACAGCAATATGGATGGGCCTCATTCCCCTGAACCTGAGGGAGCCCCCAATACGGCAGCGTTGGGTAGGACCGCTCGGGAGAGGCTGCTAGAATCTCAGGGCCCGGATAGGCTGCCTAAACGAAGAAGGAAAGACTGTCTGAGTTTATCATGTCGACCAACACCATCCATGGTAACTCACAGTTCCAAAAGCCCTCTCACCTTCGTTGGACTTGGGAGTCACCTGATGGACAGTTCCATAACGAGATAGACCACATCATCTTCAATCGAAGGTTTTGCCTGACCGACGTCGCTGTTGTTCCGAAGTTCTACACGGGATCGGACCATCGTCTCCTCCGCGCAAATTCCACTTCGATGCGTGTTGAGAGCCTCAAAGTTCAGGAAGCGAAGCCCCAGGACAGTCATCAACTGGGATCACTTCACTTCTCTTGTCAGCTTATGGGAGGATTCCGTTATCGAAAACATCGACGAGGAATATCATCGGCTCGTTGAACATCTTCACGAGAGTGGCAGGAAGGCAGAGAGTTTGAAAGTCACCAAGGGACGTCTGTCTACGGAAACTCTCGAGCTGATACGCCAGCGTGGAGCCGCACGAGCTGCAGGCAATCACCAACTCACGTCCGAGCTTGCGAAGCTATGCAGAGAGGCGATAAAGGAAGATCTCAAGGAGCGAAGAGCAGCAGTATTAGCTGAAGCAGCAGAGGCTGGGAGGAGCATCCGCAATGCCCGCCGAAGCTTTGCCAGCTACAAGACCAAGATGACCTGCCTCCGACGTCCGGATGGAACAGTTACTGCATCCCGAAGGGCAATGGAGAAAGTCATCCACGACTTCTACTCGGATCTCTTCGATAGCCATGTCCATCTGCCTACTTATCAACCGCAGGATGGATACGTCGTCCCCTCAGTTCTCTCTTCCGAAGTCCGACACGCCATCAAGTCGGTGAAGAATCGTACAGCACCCGGTCTCGACAGGGTTAAACCGGAACATCTGAAGAACGCACCGCCAGTTATCATCAAAACTCTGGCTCGACTCTTCACGCGCTACCTGTCGGAATGCAAGGTACCCACTCCGTGGAAAACCAGCAGGACCGTGTTGCTGTACAAGAAGGGAGACTTGGACGACATTGGCAACTATCGCCCAATCTGCCTGCTGTCTGTAATCTACAAGCTATTCACTCGAGTCATCCTTAACAGGATCGGCAGAATACTAGATGAAGGACAGCCATGCGAGCAAGCAGGGTTTCGAAGAGGGTTCAGCACGATCGACCATATCCACACGGTTACAAGACTCATTGAAGTTTCACGAGAGTACAAGATGCCGCTTTGTCTCACGTTCATCGACTTGAAGAAGGCCTTCGACTCTGTGGAGACAGAAGCGGTCATCGAAGCCTTGGGCAACCAGGGCGTCCCTACTGTGTACATCAAGACGCTTCGGGAGCTCTACAGCAACTTTACAACCAGGACCTCACCATTCATCACGTCAA